AGATCGTAAGGTAACTGTGAATCACTCAAGCTCGTAAATGTAATAGACTTTTGAAAAGGTTGATCACCTGCGACGTATATTTTACAGCCTGACTCACTGTGCATTGAATTTTACATCGGATCAGAAAGGTGTGGTTTTGGTTTTCACTTCTCTAGACCGGGCAGTTTATTTTCTAACGCCTCCTTCTGCGAGTTTTGGCTTATAGCACTAACAATCTCTAGCTCGTCAATCCCAGGGTATTAAATACAACACTTCCAGTCGAATGGGGGGGGAAAACCAACCAGCTCTTTCTCTTAAGGGACTTGCCGTGACTTCATGTCACTCTTCCCTTTCTCTGTCTGAGAGACGTGGGTATGCTTCACATTCTGATTGTCAGAAAGCAAGCAAGAAAAAGAAATGTGTGCGCATGTGGTCGTGGAGATGAGGTATAAAGCGCATGAATTGTTCAGGAAGAGCATTGCTCCCATTGTAAAGAGATCTCTTGCATTTCATGCTCTCCGAAGTTGACACTGGCTCCTCTGCTGTATTTTATGAGGGAACGTATCAGTGAGTGGACTATGGACAGGCTGCGCGATAGTGGCTCTTTGCCTTCCATCTACAGACACAGTTTGTCACTGCTGATCTTTGCAATGTGAACTTTTAGCAGAGGCAAAAAAGAGAGTGCTAACCCTAAACATTACTATAGAAGCAAGAGGACTCTTGGTGTGGCTTTGGATATAGACTTCCCAACAGCAAAGTTACAATTTGCTCTCATTTGTTTCTCAATGGGATCTGGGGGGAAAAGTTCCCTTCGCACAAACTTTTCAAGGGTTTTCTTCTGCTAGAGCCGCCTGCCTTTGTGGTCAAATAAAGCAAACCCTCTCCCCTGCAGGACACTTTACCCGACGCAAAGCAGAAGGTAGCCTAGCATTTGTTGCTCACAGGAACGCCCATCAAAGTTCGAAAAGTTCCTGCTTAGCTGGAAAGCCTTTAGGAGCGCCCAGCTTTGGGCCTCTTTCAAGTTCCCAAGAATTGGAACTGGCCTTGAAATACCACGACTTGGACCCCTGCACTGTGAAAAAAAAGTAGCAGAGGAAGTTCCCGATTTAAAAAAATAATGATAATAATCAACCCGTGTTTTTAATGGACTTGTACATACATTTAAATGGGAAAACATGAATATTCCAGGGCTGTGCTCCTTGCGCTAATCAAGGCTGCTAGAGGCTCCCCAAGCCATCATCTTTTATTATTATAATTACATGCGTCAATCAAGACCTTCAGGCTACATCAGAACAAGCCAGGCAAACTCAGGAGAGAAGTCACATAAAAAGTTTGGAGAACTTGGTAAGGAATGGCGAAGGGATTAGAAGAGAGGGTAATTAAGGTTGCTCAAGGCAATTGTGAGAGCTAAAGCTCCATGTTAAATTAAACAAAGCCACGAGGGAGCAGGTATCATTTATAATGGTTACTGCCCTAAAGTGTTACTTCGGAGAAATGTAGATGTGTAATAACCACTCCAAAGTATTTTCATCTACACTAATAACTCCTGGAGTAGCTTCGCAATGTACCATTTGAACTCCTTCCAAGTCAGGCCCCTGTGGAGTGATACTGCCTGTAACATTAACTCCACAAGTACTAGTTAAACAGAGACTTAAGTACTAAAGAGTCATTTAGAGGGTGAATTCTGTATATACCTGAGTGGGAGTAAACCACTGGGAAATTGTTCTAAACAAAATAAGGGGTGCTAAGGTTGTGGGGAGTAGAGATAGAGAGCGATAGATGAAGCCATAGATAGAATCTTCAGAAAGAAGACTGGCTCGTATTGGTGTGAAAATAAATAATGGGGGAAATCTGAACATTAAGGGCTCGATCATAACCCCGCGTAGATTTGAACGCTCAAAACTCCCATTGACTTCAATGCATAACCTAGTCCTAGATGACGAGCTACAAGACTGAGCTATACTGTCCTGGTTGGCAGGGTCTTTTTCTGCTTTTGCCCTGGTGGGCTAAAACGTTGATCTTCTTTACTCACCAGAAAGAGTGAGAGAAACTAAATGGATTGTCTCGCTGCGAGTTTATCGGACAACAACATGAAATCACTTTCCCCCGAACAATACACGGCAGAGAGGGATAGAGAACGACCCTTCTTATTTGCCCGGGAAACCTTAGAGAGCTGTAGGACTGAGGATCTGTATATACGTATTAATCTAACTTTCCAAGGTCTGTTGTAAATACTGTCATAGGCTATGCCTTTCATAATTTATGTCCTGCGGGGAGGTAAGGTGGGGTGGGAGGGACAGGGCAGAGATCTCTCTAACAGAGAACGAGGTGCTTTTAAAATAGGACACACGTAGCTAACTTTGCACCCATTGGAACCAGTGGGCATGTAGGGAGAGAAGCATCTTCAGTCTATTCTGTTACATGTCTCTAAATCAGAATTCTCTGTCTCAGACCTGCTCTTCCAAAGCACCTCCGTGTTTTTATCCATTACATGGGCTACAATCTGCTCCTCTTTGGTGCGGAGACAGGAAGACCAAAGTGTTCTCCTCTAACCCATAGCCAAACCAAAACAACTTACATCAGATCCACTTGTGTGACCCTTTGCCTCTATTCTGATGGCATTACAACTGCTGAGCCCATTTAACCTGAGCTCACAACAATTTTATAGAAGCAAAGTCTATAGGTTTAAAAAAATAAGTAAATAATATATCTACAAACGCCAAGATTGTATGGTCTCAGCTCATATCCGTCCGCTCCCCTGAGCGGAAGGCATCTTTCAGGGGACACTCAAACAGCCCTCCCTAGTAAGATACCCGCGCCGCAATTTATTTTTAAAACCTGTTCACAAGAGAATTTGAGAGATAAAATCCCAGTTTTGGAAATTATGTTAATATTGAGCAGGATTTTTTCCCCAAATTGGCTATTTCAAGATTTTTAAGTTGCAACACTTACAGGTCTGATTCCCTCCCCACATTTAACCCATCCCGAGAATAGCAAGTCCTGAAAGAAAGAGAGAAAGAAATAAACCTATTTTGCAGTAACACTGACGTTTGGAGATATCCACATCTCCAGTAAATTAAGTTTAGATTTTTACTTTTAACTGCTTGATGGGAAAAGTTTAAACTAACTAAGCACAGAGCACAACAGAGTCAGTTATCGCTCTTAAATGACCCTTTTTGCCACTTTTTTTTATCAGCAGCTCGGTCATCAAAAGTGTTTAATAAAGTTAGAGCAATAATTAGATTTTATAGAATCTGTATTAACAGTCATGAACCTTTATTTTCCATACACCATTATAGTCAATAGCATGTATTACTTACAGTTCAAAAGGATTTTTATTTTCCAAATATTTCTATTGTTCCATAAATGTGAACATGATTAACAAGAAGAATATTCATAACTGTCAGATATAGGAGGTTTTGATTATTTTGAAGATGAAAATAATGCTTGCTCATCTAATGTCAACAAAATAGATATATGTTAATACAACTAATTCGAATATCACAGTAATATTGTTACCTCGACTAATGGACGGTGAGTTTTGATTGAAATATTTCTGCTCCTCGTGCTAGTCAAATAGAATACATTAAAATCTTTGAAATCCCATTCACTAGAATGGACTGAGAATGGCTGCAATAACTGTGGGATTGCAAAAGCTGGCACCGAGAATTAAACATGATAGCATTTAGAAAATACTATTTGAACGAGGTCTTTCTGGTAACGTTTAAGTTGATGCCATTTACTGGACTTTTAGTCGGCAGGTTGGCTGTTGTTTAACAGATTGCTCTTTAGGGCATTTGCTTTATTTAAGTTATGTAGCTCGTCTTGATAGATCTCACAAGACGCTAGAAAATGTAGAATTAATACAGAAAACCCAACCGTACCTCCATTAGGTCTCCATGGGACTGTAAAAAGGAAATGTAAACAAGGGGGATCAAGGTAGTGTTTGCAAAGATGCACAATTCCTTTATAATAGTGTGTGTGTGTGTGTGGGGGGGGTGATAGCTTCCCACCTGAGACCACCATGTACAGACGCCGAACCTAGGACCATGTGAGACAACGTACTCTCTACTGGAGAGAGTTCAACTCCAGCTGTCCCTGCTGTGGGGCGGGGAATAGCCCTGATGGGTGAAAACGGGATAGACAAGAACGTCTCTCATCACCCCCTGTGCACGCACAATGGCTGTGTGAGAGTGTAAGGCAAGAGCGCGGCTGCACAGTCAGGAAACAGCCTGCGATGACTGAAGAAGAACCCTTAGCCCTGCCTTCCACGGAGCAGGAATAATGCATTGCCCGTCTCCTTCCTTGCACGGCACCTTCATGTCTTATTCCCCCTGGATGCAGAGATCACCTGGCTTGCTAGGGATGTTTGCAAGCTGCTGGCCGGTGCACCTCGCTCCCTTAGGCGGCCCGTGCCTGTTTTACTAGCACTGTAATATCAGGATGATTTAACAACTGTAACTGGGGGGAGCTTTAGAGGAGGGGGAAGGGTTGGTTGCTGATTGTGCCTCTTCCTCATTGGCTGGAGCGGCAGTGTCAGCCCCCCCAGAGCCCTCACACTCGCTATCTCCCCAGCCCCCCTCCCCCAGCCCCAGCCGGCTGGGAAGTGCCTCTTCTCGGTGCATGTGGAGTAAACAAGGCAGGACCGCAAGGTCTGAACTTCGCAACTCCACACTTGTGACAGGGCGAGAGCCGCGGCTGGAGGGAGCCCCTGCCGGGCCGGGGGGAGGAGGAAGAGGGGGGCGGGGAACCCGGCCAGCAGCGCACCAGCCCCGCCGCAGCGCTGCTCCCCGGGCTGGCGCTCAGCCTGGCTGCTGCCGCTCTCCGCCGGAGCAGCGCCGCTGGCTCCCGGGCTGCCCCCTGGCGCGCGCCGAGCCCCAGCGCCCCACGCGCGCGGCGCTAGCGGGCGGCAGCGCTAGGTGTGGGCAGCAGCGGGGCGCGCAGGGCACGGGCCGGAGTGGGGGGTGGACGCCGCCGCCGCTCGCCCCCTCTCCGAGCTAAATCTGTGCTGCCGTGCCCAGGTGCCGCTCTCCCGGACGGACACGGAGCCCCCATCCCGGCCCGCAGCCGCCTTGTCATGCTGCCCAAAGTGGAGACGGAAGCCCTGGGACTCGCCCGAGCGAATGGGGAGCAGGGGCAGATGCCGGAAAACATGCAAGGTAAGCACATGGGCGCTTGCTCCTGCGGTACCTGCCGGGCAGGGCTCCGAGCCCCGGGGGCAGAGATCCGCGGCTCCCTTCCCGGGCACCTCCATAAAAAGTTGGTGGCTCCTGAGCAATCGGTTGTGGAGGTTTCTAAAGCGATTGCCAATTCGCCAGCAAGGCTTAGCGGCACCGGCAGCTGGAGCCGGGCTGCTCTGGGCTGACCCGGGCAGCTGTGCCTGACAATTGGGAACTTTGCTGAACTTCCAGAACCGGGTTACTAAAAGCTGCGTTAAAGCCTTCGGAAATTCAGCACTAAAGCAATGGGGAGGGCTAAGTGTAACTATCCGAATCTACCGTCTGCCCCAAGTGCATGGGAGACGTGACACTGTGCAGTCGTATCCGCAAAGCATCAGACGCAGGGTGAGCTGTTAAGGGAAACCTAGTATTTTAAGGGGGGAATGGGGCCTATGAGAGCGGGGATTGGCAGGTCCCCTTTATTTTCCTTGCTCTTGACTGCTCGCAAGAAAACATATCCACCCCACTGGCTCTATTTTAAACGCGTTTTATTTAAAAAAAAAAGGCAGCTCCAGATTCTGGCTCGCATGAAAGAGCCTCAAAGTTTATCTCAAGCAAACGAGGGGGTAACATCAGGAAAATCCCAGCAGCAATTCCATACTCGCCCTTTGCACGACCCAGATTCTGTCTCTGCTCTGGAAATAGTCCTCGCCACCTCTTTACAACTTTACCTGGCATAGACTCGACGGAATAAGCCTTGGAGACTGAAGCCTCGAAGGCATCCGAAATACACAGCTGTCAGGGGACAATTTCCAAGCAGGGTTTTAGCCATTCTGCTGCTTTATTAGCGGTCGTTTTCTGTGCTGTTCCTGTCGGTTTGCTAATTGCATTTATGGCTTTGTGTGAGAGTAAGAGTGGTAATAAGGGCAGCTTGTCTTTCAGTACAAATAACACAGGTGATCAACCAGATGCGATGAGAAACTTTGCTTCAGCAAGTCCTGAAACTGACGGTGTATTTATGCCTCTGAATTTCACTCCGTGGTGGTCAGAGAATGCAGGCGCTGGAGCTGAGTCGCTGGGGTACCATAGCTTAGCTGGAAGGATCTTTTAAAGTCCTAACTCCAGAGCGGAGCTGGAAACTTTCTGTCTGAAACTCAGAGACTTTCGCTTTAACCTGCGTTTATTTTGAGCTCGGGACAGGAGATTTGAACTCTGTCTCAGGGAAGTGGCTGTTAGTGGCACTGGAACCAGTGATTCTCAGCTCGCTCCCGCGCTCAGTTAAAGGTGATTCTTATTTGCCATGCTAAAGGCAGGGGGCTTTCGCTATGTCACAGAGAGATTCGGCAACAGCGCTGGAGTTGCACCCCATTCATTCCCCTAGATGGAGGAGCAGAGAGGATCCCCTAAGTGCTGGGGATTGGCTGTATCCCATCTCCATCATTCTCCACGTCCTATCGTCCCAGGTGTCTGGCGGGGCTAGCTGGCCAGAGACACCTAGGTCACTGTAGAAAAGCCCCAGTTGAGCACAATGTGCTACTCAACTCTAGAAGCGGGTAGGATTGAGGGTTCTGGGCGACCCTTTAGCAGAAACTTCTCTACCGGTCGCTTGTTTCAGCCTAAATTGGTCGTTTTCAGGGGGCCCTTTTCTATCTTGAGGCTAATGGGACGCAGAAGTTGTAAGGGGGTTGGGGGTGTCAGGGTAATTCAGACTTTCTTTTTCTTTGGCTGTGTCCCGCTCAACACTGTGTTGTCCTGCAACGCTCCCGGGCAGCGCTTGGAAAAAATCTTTGTTTTCCCTACTGACCCCTTTGTCCATTTATTTTTTTCTTGTGACAACCGGGAACTTTGTTCTTGCTTCGGCCCCTGCAGCACAGGCAGCATGTATTTATTGGGTGCATACCGTGAGCAGAAAACTCAATTCATCGGCTCTTTAATGTTAGTTAAAGGATCGTCCACCTAAGGTCAGGTATATAAAAGAAATCAACAAGCGTGGGGATGGTAGCTGGAGAGAGCCATAGTGTGTAACACACATTCTGCTCTCTGATCAGATTGGCCCTGATTCATAAACCGTGAAGAAGTCGTTCTGAAAATATTTTCCCTAGGCTATTTCACGCCGTGTTAATTTCACTCCAGTTCCCTCTCTAGTTCCCATAGAGCCTGAGGGGGTTCTTTCCTTAGGGGACACGGCTGCTGTTAGTTACTTAAGACTTAGCACATCTTTTTCTTAACCCAGAGACTCTTAACTCCAAGGCATCCTCAGCCGCTTTCTGGGAGATCTCTCCCTTGATACAACTACTTAGATGTAACTCGCTTAGATGACTCAAAAACGTGACAGCTGTTTGATTCTAGGGGAAGAAAATCATAACTTCTGCCGCTGCTGTGTCCATCACCCCCTTACAGAGATAACTGATTACATTACAAACCGTCAGCTGCCTGGTGTATTTTGCAGCAGGAAAAGGGAAGGAAATTGGCTCTGCGGTGAGGGGTTGTGGGGTTTTTTTGGGGGGGGGGGGAGATAATCAGACCTGCTGACTGAGCTGGTTGAGGCGGGAATCTAGATCAATTCTCTCTCTCTTTCATTCAGGTTCTTTTGTACCCCCTCATCTCCCAGCTCCTCCTCCGCCTTTCCTCGGAGTGGCAGAGGCCGCATTAGATTCCTACAGACAGGTTTTTTCCTTCAAGGTTTTGTCTAAATTGCACAGAGGTATTTGGGAAAATCAGGGCATAAGAACTGCAGCGTTTCCTGTTTACATTCTGTACATCTTTTAGATCTCCCGCAAACACTGATTACTTTTGTCCGAGGAAGTTGGTTACTTGCGCCTGGGACCTTAATCCTGGATCGTTGTGGTTTGATTTGGGTTTAATTTAGCATGGCGATTATATAAAATTAATTAGGTTTAGGTACTTTACCACCCCATCTCTCCAAAAAAACAATCCCAGTGCCTTCTGCTTGTCTCCTTTTTTACTGTTTTCTAGTTTCCGGGGGTTAAAAATGTTTGGAGACAAAAGTAAATAAAATGGGAACAAATAAGCAATTTGAACATTTAATATAAAAACTGATCGATTTAGGTATTACAGGAAGCAAGCTTTTGTTAAAGATGAGCTGCTGATCAGAATCAAGCATACAGGGTTTTGGGTGTCAGGACAGCATTTTAACTTTGTACTGTAAGTAATTTACATTCAACACACTAGGAGAGTGCTGGTTATGGGGGTTTCAAGTTTAGATAAAGTAAATATTTACAGATTGGTATTATTTTAACAAAACTTTAAAGGAAGAAAACCTAGTTAATGTTAGTTTACATACATCAGTGAGATTTAACCTTGTCAATTTTGGTTCTGACTTTTTAAGCACTTTCCTGATAAATGGTGAAATTAAATTATTTAATGTAGTTTCTGGTTCAATGGACTGTAGATGGTTTAAGAGCACTGGAATTCTGAATAACTCTAGAATTTTTTCTCACAACACAAAACTCTGAAGTTTATACTTTTGTTTACTTGTGAAGAGTTCATATTGTTTTGCTGTTGAATTAAAAATTCCATGTTTCAGTGTGAGTCGTGGTGGTGGGTTTGTTTTGTTTGTTTTGATTTTTTTTAAAAGTCTTTTTATTTAATTTGCAGAAGATGTTTCTCTAATGAATTGTTTCCTCAGGTCAGAATTAATGTCTGATAGTTGGAGCTGAGGAAAGCATTTTTGAACTACTTATGTAAATACTCATTGAATGTGTTATTTCTGTTTTTTCCAGTGTCTCAGTTTAAAATGGTAAATTACTCTTATGATGAAGACCTGGAAGAACTGTGTCCAGTTTGTGGAGATAAAGTGTCTGGTTACCATTATGGACTTCTCACTTGTGAAAGCTGCAAGGTTTAGTACACATTACTTAATAGAAAACAAATCAAAATGGTTTAAAATATTTTAAAATGTTAAAGGAAAATAAATGCTGGTAAAAATAAACAAACAGGGGTGCGTAGTTTGGCTTCTTTCTGATTCCATTTATGATTAGATTCACACCCAAAATTTTGAAAAACCTCATTTGCCCAAATGGAAAAAAAACAACAAGTTAGGTTGTTTTGTTGTATGGCTGTGTCCACTGCTTTTAAATATTTTGTTGTTGTGAAGTGATAGAGCTGTAGAAGGACTTTCAGTCCTAAGCGACCTAAGTATTGATTTTAGGTGATTTATATACATTTAGAGTATTATTGTTCCTGTAGGATAAAGTGACAAACTAGTATCCTCAATACATTTCAACTTTACAAAATCTAATGCCACTGTTCCAAAGTTTTTCTCTTTCAATATAAAAATGTAAATTTCTGTTGTCATCACAACTTCATGCTTATTTTTCCTACAAAGTATTTTATTTTAGTATTTACTTGGACATGTACACAATTAAAGTCAAGCAAATAATTTCTTGTAATATATTAAATAAAGAATATTCACACATGTAATTTATCCTGTGCACATAGTTGGAAACTAAATCCATATCTAATTAAACCAAGTATTAAATATAGTTGAGCCTTGTAAGTGAATTCAATAATTTGTCATGAATAAACCTTTTAAAGTTATATACAACCATTTAAATCAGTTTTCTAAAAGCAGAATCTCTTACCCTCTACACCAGAACAATGCAATTTTAAACATTTCACTGTATGGCAAGCAGAATAAACCTAGAAAATCGCATTTTTGTTTTTAAAAAATTGTATCTAGACAATGAATGTCAAATATTTATTATGCCTCTGATATACACTATAACAATATACAAAGAGCAGATGTATCTTATGTTTCTATTACATTTTGCAAGTGTTCTAATTTATTCCATATAAGATTACTTTAAAAAGGCAGACTTCAGTCATTTTACAAATATTAAAGAGCAGACAAAAGAGATACTGGTCAGCATCAGTGTTTATGGTCCCATTGTTAGGGATGCAGTGGCGTACAGGCAAATCTCACCAATCTTTGACGTAAGTCTACAAAAAACGCAGTACTAATACCAGAAAAACTCCTCTATAGTCTAGCAGTTTTCTCCAGGGTATATCTTGCTGAAATCTAAAATAAGCCATGTAACCTCATAAGTGCTTGAGTGGTATATGACAAGTATCTGACAATGATTTCCATAAAATAAAATGCTGAAACCTACTGTTAAAGTGAAATGGGCTGACTCTTTGTCTATCATACAGGGATTCTTTAAACGAACAGTCCAGAATAACAAAAGGTACACGTGTATAGAAAATCAGAACTGTCAGATTGACAAAACACAGAGAAAGCGTTGCCCTTACTGTCGATTTCAAAAATGTCTAAGTGTTGGAATGAAGTTAGAAGGTAAGAATTATTACTGTTATTGTATATTTATAATCTATACAAACTATTGAAAATATTACATAAATTTCAGTTTTATACAAATTATGTTGCACATTATTTACCATATCCATTTAAAAATACTTGCTGGTAACTTCTTATATGCTGCTATTGTATGTTTTAAATAAGGGATATTTTTAATCTATTAATAAGTAGTAGCAAGTCAATTATAAGTTAAAGCTAGTTAATACCACAAGAAAAAATTGAAAACGTTTGATTTATACATAGTTTGATGCATTTAAGAGTACCTGGATGAAAAAGTAAGAATAGCATGGAAATTACTTTTTAAACTTTATAGACCAAACAGAATTAATTCAGAATTAAAACAGAATACATCATCAGTTCTCAGAACGGGGAATTAATAATTGCAACTAATTTCTGGTCTTTCGTATCAGGCATGATTTTATTTAATTTATATTTTATATAGTATTTTGGTTTTGATGTGGTTTTGCTTTGCAATATCAATCTTAAAGAAAATGTGAAATAAAGAAAAATTAAGAGTCTTTCCTCAGGCAAAATTGCAACTGACATCAATGAGAGTTCAGTACACAGAGTGACTGAAGAATTGAGCTAAAATATGGGTAAAATAATCTCTAAAAGTATGTCATAAAGCTATTATGAATAGGTATACTTTCACAATGAGATTTCTTGAAAAATTTAAAGGAAATATGAGATTTTAGAGTGGGTTTTCAGAGTTCAGAAAGATCATTCACACACAGAGAAGAATGGTAATACTACAAGAGTCTATTGAAATAACAGAATGCAAAATGACTGTCAAGAGGCTAGTAAGAGAATCTTGACACTTCAGCACAACACATTCTAAACATATCATTTACACTTAGGCCCAGATTCTTCAGTCAATGGGAATTTTGCCTGAGTAAGAAATGCAGGATCAGAATTGAACATTCTATACTCATGCAAAACTCTCATTCTAATGAATAAGTTTTGCCTAAGTTAAGACTGCAGGATCATGCCAGTATTACAATGGAAATATGTAGATATAAATGCAAATATGCATTCAAATATACAGACAGCCTCACACAATTTAGTAAATACAACACTCATTACATTTGCCCACAGTGCACAGATAAAACTGGTATATTACACTGAGCTGAACATCTTGGGTTGCAGTATATCCCTCTGAAAACTAGTGGTAAAATAACAAGTCATTTGGAATGTTTTTGTCAGTATGGACATTTATCAGCAGGTTGAAAATATATTGCTTAACTGCTACTTCTAACTGTTTTTAATTACAGATAATCATACAGGGCCATATTCTGTTCTCATATGATTACATACAACTCACTTTTGTGCAACTCCTACTGAAATCAAAGTATCTCAGGGTGGAATTTGACCTATAATGTGCAGCATGTTTTGAGAAGGATGCTAATATATATGTTACATTTATCAGCAAAATATTCTATAAGACTTTTCAGTTTCCTGCATAAGGGATAGTGTTAGCAGCAAAAAATGCCTTAACTACAGCATTAACTAAAACCGAGAGAGAGAGACTATAAAAGATTTATCTTTATATCCTTCTGTCACATCTGTACAACTTCTCTTTCTCTATCTGGAAAATTGGAAGAACACATGCTTTCATAATTGTAAATGCCTGTAACATTTATATATGTATTTCCCTGATAGTGATATATGGACTTGAATTCTAGTTCATAAATTACTGTCTATACCAAAAATCATTAATTGTTAAAGTCTTCATGATAATTTACAGTATTGTGTACCTAGGATTCATAATAAATTTTTAATGTTAAGGATTAGTGTAAGATAAAAAGCTCAAGAACTTAACCTCCAGCAATCTCAGCAGTCTCAACATGTCACCAAGCTGTCAAAGGTTCCTGTTTCTATTTAATTGCCATTGGGCAAGGTGGGCTTGGCGAGAACTACTCACTAGTCCATTAGATATATGCCATAGTGACACACACTGCTGTGACAAAGACCACCAATATGATTCCTGAGGCAGCTGTTGAAGTAGATTTGTTTTAATTATTTCTAATTCCAGAGATATTACATGCTATAACATTGTCAATAGTTTCTGAGTCGGTTCAACCTTCTGTGTGGAGTATGGCAAGTGGGCAGCTTTCTCTATGCCTATTCAAATTCCATTTGAAAACATCTCTAGAAAATGAGGAATGTTCCTTAAACATTTGCAACAATATACATAAACCATAAAGGAAATAATCTTTAATTTTTGCTAAAGAAACAAGATTCACCTTTATGCCTATTGAGCATTTTACAGCTTACATTTCAGATAATTTTTGTATAGTGGTGGTATGCAGTAATGGAATGATTATCATGAGATAACATGGCCCTCAGGATACTTCTCAGATGAGTTCTGGACAGAAGCCATTTTTTCCTAATGATACCATGGGTTGCAGTTAAAAAAAATTATGAGATCTCAACAGGAATCACATGTTATCTCATGATGTGTGAAATTTCTGCAGCCAACCACTGTGTTTGTCCCTAATTATTACATCTTAAATGACCTAAACAATGAGTTCATACATGTTAAGAAGATTTGTCCAATAGATAACTAAGACAATTAAAATTCATTACATCAAAAGATTTTTTTTTTTCCTTTTGGAATCATCGTGCTATTTTGAGCAAAGTAAAGTAAGGGAGTGCTGCTGTCTTGCCACTCTTCCCTAAACGTGTGTTCAACTCGAGTGTTATCTGCTTAAGTTTTAACGAATATCTTACTTCCTTCTCTTTTCCCCAACAGCTGTGAGAGCTGACCGAATGCGTGGGGGTCGAAACAAATTTGGACCAATGTACAAGAGAGACAGGGCACTGAAGCAGCAGAAGAAAGCTCTTATCCGAGCAAATGGACTTAAACTGGAAGCCATGACTCAAGTGATCCAAGCAATGCCCACTGACCTGACAATATCCTCTGCAATCCAGAATATCCACTCTGCTTCCAAAGGCCTACCTCTGAACCATACTGCCTTGCCTCCTACAGACTATGACAGAAGTCCCTTTGTAACCTCTCCAATTAGCATGACAATGCCGCCTCATGGCAGCCTACAAGGTTACCAAACCTATGGCCACTTTCCAAGCCGTGCTATCAAGTCTGAGTACCCTGACCCTTACACTAGCTCTCCAGAGTCAATAATGGGCTACTCATACATGGATAGTTATCAGACAAGCTCACCGGCAAGTATTCCACATCTGATATTGGAACTCTTGAAGTGCGAGCCAGATGAGCCACAAGTCCAGGCTAAGATCATGGCATATTTGCAGCAGGAGCAAGCTAACAGAAGCAAACATGAAAAGCTCAACACATTTGGGCTTATGTGTAAAATGGCTGACCAAACCCTCTTCTCCATTGTTGAGTGGGCAAGGAGTAGCATCTTTTTTAGAGAACTTAAGGTAGGTAAAAAGCTCATATTATTTTAGATACAGGTTTTTAAGCAAGAAAGTATGATTTGTTTTGTTAAAATGCATCACACTTGCTTACTTTACTTTGGCTTCATGTAGGTTTACTATAATGAGAATAAACTTTCAATTGATTTTGCTATTTTAGCTTATTATGTGGGATATCAGAAAGACTGGGTGCTAATCAGCCTTTTTTATATTTAATGTATCTCCCTCTCTTTCTCTCTCTCTCCGTCTGATCACAAATCATTTACTCTTCTGAATACATCCATTGAGTATATTGTATGCAAGTTACACCACTATAGGTAGCATTTACCTAATTGGTCCAGTTATTGTGGTTACATATGGGGAAAAAAACACTTTATACACTTATGTATATACAGCCCCAAAATTACTGTGTACTACTGGAGCATAGGACCTGATGAAGAGCAAGCAAAGGTGGCTTAAGGTCTCCTTTGCACTCCCCTGATCCTAGAGGTACCAATGGACTGCTTTAGCCCATGCTGGCTGCAACAGCCCCTTAGAGAGGCTGTTCCTTGGGCCAAGGTTTGCTGGAGCACTAAACAGCTGGAACCCCTAACACACCCTCACACATGAATGACAGCTCTATGATAGCCAGGAATTCCCTCACATCAAGGGATTCCCCAGTTGATTTGTTAGGGCAGCTTTATGGCCCTATTGTGCAATTGGTCTGGCATAGGAGGACTGGGGATGGACGGGCCAAACATTGGGCCCAGAGTGTTGCGGGGGGTAAACAAGAGCATTCTATAACCACTAGCTTAATAGGGGGATAGCTTTGGAATGAACAAATGGTCTCTTTCTGTCCCCAAATGAGAAGACACATTGAAATCCACCTCTGAAAATTCCTGCTCTAGTGCCTGTTTCTCCATTTCCTTCTGCTACACAGGGAGATGCTGTTGCTTCAACTTCATTTGTTGTCCAGCCTTTTGACAGTCATTGGTTCCTTGCAGGCTTACTCTGTAGCCAAGGGAAGATAATACAATATGCTAATAGAACTGCTGCTGCAGAGTTTCACTGAGCACTGAAACCTCCCTTGTGAATCAGGAGCACTGAAGGGGGACTCTTAAAAAAAGGCACAGGTACAGAATACCTGCATCAGAGTTGTTGGCTGTTATAAGCATGATGATGCTAAGACACATTTGGAGTGATCTTTGAAGACCAGTTCAAAGGAAGCTAAGGGAACCTCATTGTGCTACCCAGGCAACTGGAGTATGGGTGACTCTGACCTCAGATGTCTGTTCCCACTCCATTCATGAGGGTGGCTACAGGAGCACTGCATACTCAGCCTGAATGATGAGGAAAGTCATTTAGAGGGAAGGTGATTTAAAAAGGGAAAATAAATGTCTAATTTCATCTGATTTATTTGCAAATATAAATTATTTAAGATTTTATAATAAGCCATATGCTCTGTTTTAAATAATTTTAAGTTTCTATAAAATGTAGAAACAATAAACTTTTAGCAAACCATTTCCTAAAAGTCAAGTTTATTTATAAAGGACCAGACCCTGCTGCTCTTACATTGAGGAATACCCACTGAAATCACTGAGACTATTCACAGAGTAAGATACTACTCAATGTGAGTAAAAATGGCAGGACTTGGCCTAAAATTATTATGGAGTTATAAAATGATAATCTGAAAACATCTTTAACAGATGTTCCTTAAACATTCATCTTTTGTTATCCCAAAACCCAGTGCGTATGAAGACTAACCACTCAGATGGCTGTAGTGAGGACAGTTATAGGAGACAGCCATTACCTCCAGCATCAGACTTATAGAGTCTCTTTATCCCTTCCATCCACTATAGTAACCACACAAGATGCAGGAACTTGTTCCATACAAGAGAGAACCAACTTTTCCAGACTATAAAAGTATGGGGACTATGTACATTCTGTATCCAGCAAGCAGATTTTTTTAAATAGGCTTTTTAAAGGCACTTTTTTCATCTTAATATTTGTACCTTTTACATCATAGGACCTTATACTTCAGACAGTTTAATATCTGCTGACAGAGATCTTCCTCTTGGACAATGAGCTACTAAACCACAGAGCATCCCTGGAAAATCACAAGATAATGAAGCACACCAGCACATATAGGAAATCACTCCACACCTGATGGATTTTATGGCCCAGGTCCTGCAAAATGTTGAGCATGTTCAACTCCCAGTGACTTCAGTGGGAGTTGTAGGTGCACAGCACTTCACTGGATCAGGTCCTAGAGTGAAAGACAACAGCATATCCCTTTGCTGCTAGAAGAAGATGAGAGAAACATCACTATAGCAGGACTTATATCCCTATCTGACTGTGGATTCCTTCCCAGATCCCCCCTCCCTATCACCTCTTGCATCAGTTTCAGGTGTCCACTCCTGGTCAGTGCAAGAGGAGCAGACATCTCAGAATGCTCCACAGAGCATGAATACTGAAGGAAGCATATTTGGTCTGTGGATATGATTTGGAGAACTCAAGTGCAGTATGGCAGTGGGAGGCACTTGTGGGGAAAAAGGGACTAGATTGCCAAATGAACTAGCCCTAGTCTTGCCATTCTCAACTGATTCAGATCAATACTCACAGCTGAGAAGCATGAGAAGTATGTATAAGAGCGAGAAAATGTCTCTCTTATTATTCCTACTTCTCCAAGTTTAAAGTATGAATCTTGAAGATCCATTGCAGGTTAGACAGGTGCATAAAAAGAGGTCTGGGAATAAGAGTTTCCCTTGGATGAGTGAATCACAAATGATGAAACAAAAAAATCTGCATAAATAGTGGCTAGTAACAAATTTATAATGATCCGATGCATATAGATCACATCTTACACAAATGGATGTAAATTACTAAACAGATTGTTAGCAAGCCATTCAGTTCCTTCCAAACCCATTGTTACATGCTCATCTCTTCGATGCACGAGAAAGAGGGAACCTTTTCTTTTGTCCCAACCCTACCGATTTGGAGCCAGAAAGCTTAAATATCCTTTAACTCAGGGGACTGAAAAGGAGACATGATGACAAATTGCTGTCTTAGCTCATCCTTGGGGAAATGGCACTGAAGTTTGTTCATTATTTTAAGTTTTCCCTTTATAATTATTATTTTAAAATCACCTCACATGATAATAAATGCATATTTACTTTCAAATTGGTTATGTCTTGAAATTTCCATTCAGTTTATCCATGATCATCTTCCTCTGAGTGTATCTGTTCTATCAAAATACCAACATCTCTTTTGTTGTCCATGACATATATACAACAGGAAATACCTACCACTAGAGTAGTAGACTCACATCAGGAAAAAAAGAGAGAGTGAGAGAGACTTACCCTGTTGTGACAATAATACATAGATTAAACTCCTCATTTTGGACCCTGCTCCTCAAAGGTCAGTTAAATGATATATTGTAGCACACTCTTTGCATTGTACTGGACTCTTCAGATCTTAGGAATGAAGTTAAAGATCTTTTCAATCCATGCATGAGTTAAATTTTGGGGATCATCCTTTTCATGTTGGAGAAAGAGAGAAGGGAGTCATTAGAGTCTTCAAATGATGTTCATTATCATTTGCGGCAATGAGCTATAAAGCATGCATAACAAATACTTTTCAAGCTTGGTAGTGAAATGATATTAAGAAAATGTAATATTTTAAGACTTTTAATCTTACTTATTAAGGGCCAGATTCTGCCAGTTTTACAATGAGTGGCACCTTATTCTGAAAGTTGTCCTATCTGAAATTAATGGAACCACTCGTGAAGTAAAGTACTATGCATCAGGGAATATGGATGTCAAAATCTAGCTCCAAGTGACTAGCTGGAGTCTGGAAACTTTGATTTCAACATCTTGCTAATATCTCAAACATAAATAAATCTTGTGTGTAGCCCTAGATGATGGCTGTGTAGCAGGCTGTGCTATCCAGGAGAAAGGTCTTTGCAAGGCTAAAAAGAAAACATTGCAAAAGTTTCTTTGGTCCAAAGACTGCATGGCCCCAAGACTGGATACAGAAAGTTCCAGTGGCCTCCATCTTCCCTGATCAAAATATTAGTCAACCACAGAAGAATTCACCAACTGCTATCAAAGCTAACGTATTCCCCGCTCCATAATGGGGAACAGCCTCTGTTGCTGCATAACTCAGGAAGACAATAACACTTCCATGAGCCAGTAGCTATTAAATTGCTTTCATCTTGATTATGCTGTGGCATAATATCCAGGAAAGTAGCAAGGGCCCTGGGCTCCAAAAATTAACTGAGGTTGGTAGTACCTAAAAGGCAAGGATGTAATGTTTATCTCAACTTCTTCCAATAATTTGGAGAGTGGATATTATAGGTCAAAATACTATATGGACACAAAATCCCATTATCCAGCTATGCCAGAAGGACAGGAGGCACTGGATGTGGTTTAATTAGGCTGCAACTTTATTCCTAAATGTTAGGGAGTACCCAGCATGTAAAAGTATACAGCACAGGTAATCCCATAATCATTTACATATACTAAAGGTTAGGGGGGTGATGTCAGCCCCCCCCCTTTACTCATTCTGGTCCCCAGACAACCTGCTGCTGGGCCCCCCCACCCACCTCAAAAAAGAGTTGAGGGGGGGGGCTATAAAGGAGGAGGGGTTGGCTGCCAGCTGTACCAGTCATAGGAGTCCCAAAACCCGTTTCCTCTCCTTTAAAGAATATCTCCTTTAAATTCTTTGCCAATCCATGTTATCTAAACACTGTATCTCTTCCCTATGGAGTACCTGCAGTGGACATCCGCCTCATGTTTACATAATGAGTTGTGACATTATAGCCTAACCTCTGTTTCATGTCCACCCCAACTAAGCCCCCATCCTGCTGTGGGAAGAAGAAAACAACCCACCTTGCCTTGGCCAATCTGGCAGTGAGGGAAAAAGTCCTTCCCAGCCCTTTGAGAAAGGAGTAACTAGCATAATGACCACAGCAGATCATGGCATTTAACTACTTCTGGGGGGAAGGGGGTATGTGCGGGGGGAGGGTT